TTTCCCGACTGTTAATATTGTGCATTATCTTCTTTATAACTTACTATATATAATCATGTTTTTATTGCTACTTTATGATAAAATTATTCTTGCCAAAGTTTATGTAACAATTAAATATTTTAATTTTGCAGATATAAAGTCAATATGAATAGACGACCTAAGAGAAAAAATATAAAAAAACCTTTGCGTTATGAAACTACCGAATCTTCTGACAATGAAGGGGAATCAGCTAAACGATATAAAGAGCAAAACAAGACTTCTGTTACAGATGAGATCAGAAATATTCGAAAGAATTTATCACAATATGAGAATGAAGAATTGGCTAAACAGAAAGCAATTAACAGTGCATCCAAATATCATTCTGCATCCATAATAGGTCTGTTCTTTATAGCTGAACTAGTGCAGCCAGTTCAGCTATAAAGAACAGACCTAAAGTTACCCTCAACTGACAAATCAACTTGCCGTCACATATAGATGATTCATCTATACATGGTTCTCAACCAATTATTGCATCTCAATTGGCATTAAATTCTCGACCTTTTGCCAATACAACTCCGATATCTCACGATCAATTTCCAGTAACATCTGTAACAAATTCATCTATCGTATCTCAATCTTCATTTTGTACGATATCTAAGCCTTCATGTTCTTCAACAATTAAACATCCATCATTTACAAATTCTCAAACATTCTCAGAATCTCAGATTTTATCTTTTCCATTAACTTCAATGATTGATACTGAACAAATACGTAATAAAAAATATGATTATGAAATGAATAATAATACAGAGTGTCCTATCGGAAATATAAAAATACCTTGTCAAAATGCAACTAAACATCTTTCATCATATGAATGTTTGCCAGTATCATCGGCATCTCATATTCCACCATTAATTCCGATGACAAATAATATGGTTCATTATACACCACATCATAATAGAGAATCAACACGTAATCAGAAGATGGCACATCTTGAAAATACAATTGAATCGTCTTCAGTAATAAGTCCTGAATCTTATACATCATCTTCACCTCAATCTTATTCATCCTCACGTGTCACGTGATTCCGAGACTCCATCATTGACTTTGCTGTCAGCTCCAGTACCTCATAATAATGTTACTTATAACACACAACCTAATTATACACTCACTTCTAATCACAAACATACCTAATCCCACCATAACGTATCATCAAAATACTCTGCAGGAAAATACTAATATTATCAATGAAATTAAAATGCAAGTGATGGAATGTGTGAGAAACGTAATGACAGAATTCAGGTAATGAAACAATTCTTTTACAATTTTAAAATAGCTTATCTGTCTTTTTTGCATGTTAATAATAGACTTGTGTTTATGAAACTTTTTCTCTATTTTTTCCAGTAATTCCTAATCTCTATAATGTAATTTTTATCTCATTTTTTGAAATTTTTATATAAGACATAAAAACCATCTGTTGCATTAATAAATTTCAAGATTTACTTAATACAACTTTTTTCTTGTTATTTAAAATGTAAGGAATTTTAGAAACATTTTTTATTAGAAAATCATCGAATATTTAACACTTTGTTTATAATTTTTTTGTTAATAGAACGAGGAATCAATGCTTACATATAGAAAAAATAAATAGAAGACCTGTGAAACCAAACATAATCCCGTTTCACACTGTTGAAGCAGTATTAAAGTTTAATCGGTCAGACGACACAATATATACCGAAATAATAATAATTTTTTGATCTTATCTTTTTAATGAATCAATATTTTATTATGTAATATGTTATATGTTATGTTAATGCATATTATCTATAATAGGTAGAATACCTTGCATCCATTGGAGGACGAAATGCAAAAGAAATAATACATTTGGCGTTTAAAGAGATTTTTACTACAAATGTAGCCCTATCATTCACATGGACAGGCAAAGACAATAATAACCGCTCTATAAAGGAAAAGTTATCGGATCAACGAATAATTAATGCTTTATATGGTATGTCTACAACAAGAATTATATTTTATATATATTCAACGACAATAAATTTGCAATAATACTCATATAAAATTATCTTGATTCAAGCATAAAAAATAAAATTACTGCAGTAAAGATCTCGAAAAATGAAGTAATAAAAATATTTAGAATTTTTAATATAATGCTTATTTAGATATAAGGCCTTAAAGTTGGCCCATTGTAGGTCATATTCAGACGGTCGCTTATTCGTAAGCTGCATGTGCAATAATATTGGTATCGCATATATGTGATTCACGGATAAGCAACTTTCTAAATGTATAGCCTATAATTGACTTTAAATTCTTACTTTAAAAAAAAATTCTGACTTCAAATTCTTACATTATAAAAATTATTTCTTACACTAAATAACCGCAAATATATATTTTTATTGCTTAATTTTTTAAGAATGTTTATATTACAAACTTATTGTAGTTGAATTTCGAGATACCCTATATATGAATGTATATTTCAAAATAAATTTTATATAAATCTATAATAAATTTGTAATTAAATCACAGATAATTATTTTAAATATCTGCTAGTTATTTAAAATAAGTATTTTTATTTTAGATGCTACTTCTGTACATTCAAAATTAACAACGGCTGAGTTTAAATATTACGTATCGGAAGCCTTACGCTCAGCTAAACAAAGACACTGACATCAACAGCGTATGCACTCAAGAGATCAAAATGATCAAGACGAATCGCGCGAAGAAGATCTTCATCAAGTAAATTAATAAGTTGAAAGTTTTTGTTTATAAAGTTTAAATATGTTTGAAAAAATCTTTTATTTTATCTACTATAAACTATTCATATTATTATGAAAAAAAGCAATGAATAGATGTGACAGTTTTTTATTTTAAGTTTTATATAAAGAAGAGTGAACTCATGCATATTGAACAATTTTTTATTTTATCATATCACTTACGCAAAGTTTTATATAAAGAAGAGTGAACTCATGCATATTGAACAGTTTTTTATTTTATCACATTACTTACGCAAAGTTTCATATAAAGAAGAGTGAATTAATTCATATTGTAAAAAGAATTAATTAATAAAACGCTAGAATTTATATATACATATATGTCCCTACTTATTTTTAATTAGATATATATATATAATTTTTTTATTTTATTTTATAAAAAAAATTCTTTTTTGCGGAATTCTCTTTCTATCCATATGATAGATCCATATAATAGATCCGTTTGTAATAAAATATATTCTTAAATTGCTATAT